GGGGGGGGGGGGGGGGGGCCACTCCTAAGGGCCGGGGGTTCTGTTTTTGATTTTCTGGGGAGGGGCGGCCCCCCCCCCCCCACCTTGCGGGTCCCCCTTTGGGAACCTTCCTTCAACCCCCCCCCCCGTTCCCCCCCCCGGGGCACCTTTGCAGAAGGGGCGGTGCAACCGGCGCGAGTGCATGTTCCGCCACGACGACAGCGGCCAAATCGAGGTGCCGTAGCAATCGTCGAATAGCAGAGCGGCCGCGCGCGCGCGGCAGCGGCGGCGGCGGCAGCGGGGAAGCGGCGGCAGCGGGGAAGCGGGGAAGCGGCGGCAGCGGGGAAGCGGCGCGGCGGCAGCGGGGAAGCGGCAGCGGGGCAGCGGCGGCGGCAGCGGGGCAGCAGCGCCAGCGCGGCAGCGGGGTTTTGGGGGGACGCGGCGGCGGCGGCGGCGGCGGCGGCGGCGGCGGCACACAATCCTCTTCTCCCCCCTCCCACCACCACCACCACCACCACCGGCACCACCACCACCCTTGAGGGCCGGCGGTGGCGGCGCGCGGCGCGGGTGCGGGCGCGCGTCTCGCGGCGCGGGTGCGGTGCGGGGCTTGCTTTGTGCGCGGCGCGGGTGCGGGGCTTGCTTTGTGCGCGGCGCGGGTGCGGTGCGGGGCTTGCTTTGTGCGCGGCGCGGGTGCGGGGCTTGCTCAGAGAGCGGCGGGCGCCTACCCCTCTCGGGGGCTAGTCCTCCCTCTTACGGCTGCGCGGGCCTGTGGCACCGGCAGCTGCACGCCCAACGCCACCGCCGCTGAGTCGCGCCCCTTTGGCGCGTGGCGCGCCGACCCCCCCCCCTCCCCCCTCCCTCCCCCCCTCCCCCCGTGCCGTCTTCAGGAGTGCCGCGAGTTCATGAACGGTCGCTGCTCGCGCGGCGACGCGTGCCGCTTCAAGCACGTGGGCGAGGGTGATCTCCCCCATATCTCCCCATATCTCCCCATATCTCAAGCACGTGGGCGAGGGTGATCTCCCCCATATCTCCCCATATCTCCCCATATCTCAAGCACGTGGGCGAGGGTGATCTCCCCCATATCTCCCCATATCTCCCCATATCTCCCCATATCTCCCCATATCTCCCCATATCTCAAGCACGTGGGCGAGGGTGCGCGCGGAGCCCGAGACGAGCCCAGGGGAGGGACCCCTGGGGAGGGACCCCCGGGGGAGGGGGTTCGGGAGGGGGCCTGGGGAGGGGCCGGAGGTCCGCACACGCGCCGGCGAGGGTGTGCGTGCGTGGTCGAGCAGACACACGCACAAGACGCAGACACAGGCGCACGCACGCTCAGTCGCCGCCTCCCTACCGCCCTGCCCCGGGG